ACGAGAAGCGACAGCAAGGACAAGACGAGAAGCGACGGCGAGGACAAGACGAGAAGCGACAGCGAGGACAAGACGAGAAGCGACGGCGAGGACAAGACGAGAAGCGACGGCGAGGACAAGACGAGAAGCGACGGCGAGGACAAGACGAGAAGTGACGGCGAGGACTCGCCTATCCTTCCCTGTGAGACCCTGCCTCGTTTCTCACTCCTCTGTTACCCCAGACTACGGTGCTTATTCTTGCAATTGAGTTTCATTACGCTAATTAAAGAGAAAAAAAAAAGAAGCAAAACAACACTAATGCTGCCTGATGGGAACAAAGACGAACAAAAAGATTGCTAACAATCACGATGATTTCGGCAAAAGAGCTGAAAGCTGCTTTTGAAGTTCTGCTACAATGCGACCTTCCATACTTTTCAGGTTCTGGTCCTGTTGAGAAAATCTTTCCTGTCGGGTTGATAATCAGTCTCTACAAAAGCAGCAAGACAACAAAAATTCCTTCATTACCTCAATCGACTTATTCATCATCTCCATCGACTTCTTGAGTCCCTCCGTCGTCTCCTGCAGTCCCTCCGTCGTCTCCTTCAGTCCCTCCGTCGTCTCCTTCAGTCCCTCCGTCGTCTCCTTCAGTCCCTCCGTCGTCTCCGTCAGTCTCTCGACTGACAGCTTCAGATCTGTGACCTGACTGTACAGAGTTTCATGGTTAACTAGGCAGAGAAAAAATGGGATTGATTGGTTGATCAGATTCTTGGACAAGTTTGGATTTTTGCTCGTCTCCACAAAGAAAGCCCTGACTTTGTCACAAGCAGATTCGAAATCTCTCCTATTTCCACTAACGATAAGACCAAAGGCCCTGATCTTTGCTTGACGTCCAAGAAAATGGTCCTTCAATCCTCCAGGAGCATACAAACGTGAGAGCTGGAAAATCTTGGCCAGAATCTTGTCTATCGCTCGTGTAATTTCAAAACAAACGTACTCTCCTCGGTTCACGCGCACGTCATTAAAGGACTCTTGATTCATGCTTGCCAGTGATTTGACGTCTTCCGAACAATTGGCAATCATCCCATTAAAAATGTACTGCAGGTTCGCGTCTTCTTCGAGTCTGATGCAGATGTCAGCTTGAAATATATCTCCAGCCTTCGGCACATGATTGTTTTTGGTGCCGTTAGCCTGAGAGTCGGCGCTCGCCGCAGCCTCCGACGCCGCCTTTTTGCTCAATTTGTTCTGGAGTGAAATCTGCGCAAGATGTAGCTTCCTTCCAATGCAGTTCCAGTCCCTCAAGTCCTCTCTTGAGCCACATCCGCTCTCCTTCAGCTTGTCAGCACTCTCGGCGGTCGAGATTACGGTCTCTCTCCTCACAAGACGCAGCTCTGCGGCAGTCTTGGAGAAGACCATGGTCTCATAATCTTCGTTTGAGCGAATTGTTCGCATTGTTTTGAGTCGTTTAACGTCTCCATGTCCCTCATCATCTTCTTCCACCCTTCCTTCCTCTCTCTCAGGCTCCTTCACTACAGTCCTCTCTTGCTCATCTTCCACCCTTCCTTCCTCTCTCTCAGGCTCCTTCACTACAGTCCTCTCCTGCTCATCTTCCACCCTTCCTTCCTCTCTCTCAGGCTCCTTCACTACAGTCCTCTCTTGCTCATCTTCCACCCTTCCTTCCTCTCTCTCAAGCTCCTTCACTACAGTCCTCTCTTGCTCATCTTCCACCCTTCCTTCCTCTCTCTCAGGCTCCTTCACTACAGTCCTCTCTTGCTCATCTTCCACCCTTCCTTCCTCTCTCTCAGGCTCCTTCACTACAGTCCTCTCTTGCTCATCTTCCACCCTTCCTTCCTCTCTCTCAGGCTCCTTCACTACAGTCCTCTCTTGCTCATCTTCCACCCTTCCTTCCTCTCTCTCAGGCTGTCCTTCCATCCATCCCACTACAGACTTCTCTTCCTGTTCTTCCATTCCCGCCATGATCTGACCGCCTGTAACATGGGTCAGGACAATTTGGCAACATGAAATGTGGTTGTCTTTCACAAATCTTGCCTCTGGAGTGAGTGACCGTTGGCAAATGGACCGTAGGCATGTGAATGGGAATGTCGTTGCCTCCACGAAGCCTAGCGACATGATTCCTTGTGGCATGTTCTGGTCCGGCATGTTCTGGTCCGTTTGTTGACGGCTTTTTTATATTCGCATGCAAGAATTCATTTCTGGCGCTCAGAGACAAACCAGAGAAAGAACTCAAAGAAAAAGCATGCTGAGTTTGAAGTAGAATCACGAATAACAACAGGACTGATCTTGACCTCAATAAGCTCGTAGACGCAAGTGAATCCATCCGTCCTTCCTCTCTCTCAGGATCCTCCACTACAGACCGTTCTCTTCCTGTTCTTCCATCCTCCTGCTCCCTCCTCCCTCCTCCTCCCTAGTACCTCCTCCGTGATCGCTCCATCATACTACTGAACCCACAAAACAAGAAAGGCGGGATTTCTTTGTATTGTTCTTTTTACTCAAACGTTTTACTCAAAGTTAAGTTAAAAAGCACTCAAAGGATTCGGTAGGATTGACCGAGGGGGTGGAGGACTGACTCGCTGTCTCTGCAGGGTAGAGCTCGACCGCATAGGTGGAGTGAGCAACGAGGAGAGCTTGCTGGGTTGCTGATAGCTGGGCCTTGAGCTACAGATGTGGAGGATAGCTTTGCATCAAACGTCCCGTCACAGATCTCTGAGGGGGAATGAACGGAGGTTCTCCGGCAAGCTGAAACAGAGCAGGTGAAGGGATCGCATTGTTCGCACGTGCCCCATCCAGATTACTCAGGTCGGTGTATTGAGGCACACCCCGATCAATCAAGGTCTGATATACTTGCAGGAAAGAAGCCAGCAGGGGAGGGAGGACAAGGTCCGGCTCATTAGACTGGCGGAGGATCCCATCCGACCGAGCAAAGAGAGCGGGGGTTGAGAAAGTCCAGGCTTGCACGCAGTGCAGGGTGGAACTCCATTGCAGAAAATTGGCAGTGGCTATGTAGTAAGGGGACATACTGACGCCTCTTTGCGGAGTGAAGCCATCGCCGCCAACCTGGTACGGTAGCTGACGCTTGAAGAAAGAGTGATAGTGAGGTTGGAGGGGAGGCCGAGTCAGCACTGTCTTGGACGCCGGGGAATGAGGGCCAGTCGAAGGCTTTCCCGAGCTGTTGAAGGACAATCTGGTCGAAAGTGGCGCAAGCTTCTATCACCAAAGCAGGATCGATGTGATGTGAGACTTGTTCCACAACGTAACAAAGTGCACTTGGAGGAATGAAGAATGAAGCTAGATTTGTTTATGTATCAGTAGTAGCAAGATAACGTATGAGGGGACTGATGTGAGAGAGGTGGCGAGGAATCGAGCAGCGGAAGCTGTTGTTCTTTACGACTAGCCGCCAGGTCCACCGTACAAGATGCGTCCCTGCCACGTCGGGGAAAGTATGCATACAGTCGGTATTTTGCCTGATGAAGTACCTGTCCCGGCTCTCGGGCAAGTTTGTGGCCGCCCGGCGTACGAGAGCGAGGCGATCGCCTACACCCTCAACACCTACTCACAGTGCAGGCCCTCCGATCACGTCCTCCCCCTCGACTGCGGCTCCAGCTGCCACACCCTGGTGAGGAGCGTGCTGAGGCGGTTGGAGGGGCAGGGGGTGGAGCACGAGCACGGCAGTTGCGAGCTCAAGACCCCGGGCAGCCCGCCGGTCCCCACCGATCTCGGTTCGTACATCCCCCCGCTCCACCGCATCCTCAACGCCAACAACAGCATCTTCGACAGCTGCTACGAGGTGCGGATGGCCATGCTCCGACACGCGATGAGCGCTGGGGCTGGGCCCGCGGACGCGCGTGGAGGGGGGTAACAAGGCCCCCCAGGCGCACGCGGCAGGGCGACCTGCTCCTGAGGGGCGGCGGCTCGACGATCAGCCGGCACCTCCTCACCGCCAGTCGGGGCGGGGTCACTGCTACGTCCTCGACACCGTCTACCTCCCGACCTCCCCCTCCCGGGGCCACGCCCTCCACCTCACTGGAGTCAGCGTCGTCAGGATGAGGGGGAGCCCGGCCTCGGAGGCCAGGGGCTGGGGAAGGTCGGCGCACGCGATCAGCAACGACTTTATTAGCGAGACCGCGGGGCGGGGCGCTTCAACTGTTTCGCCTCCCTGCACTCCTCCGGAATCATCCGCTACGGCGCGAGGATCAGCCAGATCCACGTGGCCAACCAGGTGATGCGGGAGATCATCCGCATGCGGCCGGAGCTGTCGGAGGAGGCGGCGAGAATGACGGCCCAGCACAAGGGCAAGTACCTGAGGAACGAGGGGACGCTGAAGGAGCTCAACCGGATGCTCTGCGCGGAGCTCACCGAGGCGGAGAGAGCCGAGAGGGATTTAGGCAGGCGGCGCGGTCGCGGCAGTCCCCGCAGCTCACCTGCGTTCAGGGCTCCCTGACCAAGGACGTCTTGTCGGGGCAGGTGGAGCTCTGCAACATCGGGGCGGGGCTGAAACTGCGGTTCTTCCACAGCCAGCCCTGCCAGACACCCCCCTTCCAGGGGAGGAGCATCGCCCTGGAGCTCGGCAACGTCTGGGAGCTGGAGAACACCAGCCTCACCCTTCTCCATCACATGGTGGGCTTCGCGCCGATGGCTTGATCAACATCCCGGTGAACTCCTGGCAGTGGGTGGGGATGCAGCGCTCGCAGATGAAGTTGAGCGCCTCCCGCGGCCCCGCCATGCCCCTGATGCAGGCCACCATCGGGTCAAAGAACCAGAGCCCCCCCTCCCAGCGGACCAGCGCCACGGTGTGGAAGTTGGCGTTGACGAGGACGGCGGACTCCTCCGGCATGCACTCCACCAGCTTGGGGAGGTCCGTCACGATGCAGATCGCGTTCCCATCCCCGTCGAACTGCTGGATGAAGTCGCTCGGGAGGCTCTGGACGGTGCCCATCACCTCCGTGCAGCGGACCGACTCGGGGCACTCGATCCTCCCCCTCACGTCCGCGATCGAGAACATGCGGTGCATCCCCCGGCACTCCTGTATCATCTTGGTGTGGAGGTGGCTGGCGAGCGCCATCAGCCGCTCCATCTCCTCCTTCCGAGTCCGCCAGCGGGAAGCGGTCGAAGAGCCTCGAGAGCAGGCCGGGGTGCACATCGTGCACCCGTTTGCGTAGTTGCTCTGCGGGGCGTAGTAGTGGACGCCCTCCTCCCCCTCCGGCCCCTTGGCAGGGAGATCCATCGCATCCATCGACTCGAGTGGGGGCGATCCGAGGCACGTTTGACCACCTCACCAAGGCAGTTGGAGTGTCCCCTGTTTTGGTGCGGTTGGGGGCCAAAAAAACTGACCGCTTCTTGCACGCTGGAGGCGGCCTCTGCCGTATTTCAGCAGCCAGACCGTTGCAATGGTGAGCGATACCTTATACACCGAGGAGGAGCTCGAGAACGAGATCGAGCAGGCTATGGAGCAGGAGGAGGAGGCCGACGAGGAGGAGCCCGTTGACAAGGGGGCAGCTCAGAAGGGCGCGGGAAAGAGCAAGAAGAAGAGCAGCAAGAAGGGTGGGAAGGCGTCAAAGCCTAAGGCCGGCGCCGTGAAGTCGGGGATCGTCAAGGAGAAGGAGATCACCCGCCTCTACGCCAAGCTGGACGCCGAGGTCCTCAAGGAGAGGAAGAAGACGCTGGAGGACCAGATCAACAACGCCTCCGCTCTATCCAAGTATGAGGCGGAGATGACCTTCAAGGAGGAGGAGGCTGCGGCGGCCTGAGCGTAGCGGGAAGGGGAAAAGTGGGAATTTGCTTTATTAGTATAAAGGTCTCCCCTATTATTTAATGGCACCGGCCTGCGCAACGGCCGATAAGGGCCTAGTGAGCTATGAGTGAGGTGGTCTGCAGCGAGGCGTGGTGATATCGGGGGGGGCAGAGGACAAGGACAAACCCTTCCGCATCACGCCCAAGGAGAAGAACGGCGGCAGCTACGAGCGCTGCGTCGTCACCTGCACGCCAGACCAGGCCTTTGGCACGGAGATGGTGTCCTACGTGGAGAACCAGATCAACCTGCCGACCAAGAAGTGGATCTACGGGGTGATCGAGGGGGAGAGGGAGCAGGACAACGTGCTGATCGACAACGCAGACATGGTGTTCCTGCCGGACACGCACGCACTCAACGACGGGAAGACCATCAACTGGCTGGCGATTGTCATCAAGAGCCTCCGTAGCCTTGAGAGCAGGCACGTCGCGATGCTCAAGAGGATACGGCTGATCTGCACGGAGTATATCCTCTCCCACACGCCCTGGAAGCGGCACAACGTGATCATCATGGCCTACGTCCACTACCTGCCGAGCGTGACCTCAAGATCCGCAGACCTTTCAAAGCAGGATGGCGTCGGTAAAGAGTGATTTAGAGGACCTCAAGATCCGCAGACCTTTCAAAGCAGGATGGCGTCGGTAAAGAGTGTTTTAGAGGCCCCACAGGTACGTTAGTTTTGTGCTCGTACGGAAAATTTGAAAGCCGAGGCGGACCTGGGTCATTGACCGCTTCAGGCCAGCATGGAGCTGAGGGAAAGGGGGAGGAGAGGGCTGCTGATCACCTGCCTTGCTCTCCTCCTCGCTCCGCCCCTCCTCGCTTCTTCTCCCCTCCTTGATGCGGCGAGGTCTGACCCCCAACATCAAGCGACTGCACCCGACGGCAAGGACGCCAATGTGCAGGGAGACAAGGACAGAGGGTCGCTGTTCTTCTGGGACGTTGAGGACGGGCATGCGGTACACCCGTGGAGGTTCCACGTGTCGCATCCTTGGCTCAAGGCCAGCAAGCAGCAGCAGGGCTGCACTTCTTTCTCCGTCGACATGGAGCTGGACGAAACCTTCACGGCTGTCTACAACGCTAACACGTGTACGGACCTCAACATGTCGAGTCCGTTCCCGCCTGGCGTAGACTGTGGGAGATACTCAGGGGTTCTGAAGCTACGGCCCTACAGCTCGCAGGAGGTGCTGCTGGTGTCGGACGTCTACCAGGTGCTGGTGCTCGACGGCTCATGCTTGCCATGCAACCCGGTCGTGCGCATCCAGCAGGGCTCGCTGTCGCCGTTTGTGTACACGGGAATGGACGGTGGCATGCTGTCGGTCGAGGTGTCCTGGCCGTACGGCGGGGACTGCACGACATGGCGAGAGAGCATGTGGGGCTTCGTGGCCAGGGTGTACGTGGACGGGGAGGTGGTGGGGTCACAGGCGTTCGGTCGAGACGCTTTGATGCGCAAGGCGTGCGTGGCAGTGGAGGTGCCGGGAAAGCTGGAGGGAGAACGGCTGGTGAGGGTGGAGCTGGAGGAGGCAAGCTCGATGCTGCTACTTGCGACAACGTCAGAGAGGGTCACCTTTCTCCGGGTCGAGGCAGGGAGCGAGCCAGGGGGCTGCTCGGAAGGGGAAGGCGTTGTATGGGTGAGGTACTTTGAAGGGCGACTGGGAAACGCGTTTGTAACGCTAGCGATCGCTCATGATACAGCGCGGATGATGAATGCGTCGTCGATCCGCCTCCCGCAGGCGAGCTGGCAAAGCCCAGACAACTCCTGCAGCCACGTGCGGGCGAGCCAGATCGCGAGCGTGTTCAAAGTGCTTGGAGGATGCATACGGCTGGAGGGGGAGGAGGGGGCGTGCGGAACAGGCGAGGGCTGGGTCAAGGAGTGCAAGATGCCTGACTGTTACCTTGCTCGGAACGGGCTGGATCAGACTATCGACTTCGACAGAGAGAGGACGCTTCGGTTCTTCAGGAGGATCGTGTCAAAAGTGCTGCTGCGCTTCGAGACGGCAGCGAGGGGCGACGACCTCTGTATTCACCTCCGATCAGGAGACGTGTTCCAGCGAATGTCAGCAGCAAATCATATTGGGAAGGGACAGTGGCAGCCGCCGCTGGCGTTCTACGTGGTCACCATTGCGGTCCACCGGAAGCTCTATCCTCACGCTCGGGTCGTGCTGGTATCGCAGCCGTCGACGAGGCTCCTCAACCCGTGCATCAGCTACCTGCAGGAGCTCTTTCCGGACGTGGAGAGCCGGATGACTGCGGCCATGCAGGACTTGTACGAGCTGGTACAGGCGAGGCACCTGGTTCTGTCGCGCTCGACGTTCTCATGGATGGCGACCTTCTTCTCCGAGACACTGGAGAGCGTGGTGTCTCCGCAGCTGATCCCGGCTCGTTGGGCGTCAGCTCCGTACGACCTGGTGGAGTACAGCTTTCCCGGGTACCAGGCAACGATCGAGACGTATGCGGGGAGACAAGCATGGAGGGCGACGCCCGAGGTGCCATGGCACGCGCTGGAGCCCAACATCAAGGCGCAGATGATGACGTATGCGCCTCAGAGGCTGCGGTGCGAGGAGATAAGGCGAGTGCGAGGAGCATCGCGGTGCATAGAGGAAGGAGAGGCGGAGGCGATCGTGGAGTCGTTAGGGATGTGAAGGAAGGGGCACGGGGTGGGGCGAGCAGGGGGGAGGGGAGGAGAAGGAGAAGGAGAAGGCGGGAGGGGGAGGGGGAGGGGGAGGGGGATTGGAGGAGGGAGGAAGGAGGAAGTGTGTCTTGTGGAGGAGAGAGGTCAGTAGAACTAGCATATTCATCTTTGTTTTCCAAGTCGAAATAGTAGGATGTGGATGGCTGTCAGCAGCTGTATTGTTTTGAGGCCTAAATTATCAACGCTTTGTGAGTTGTTTTCTTCACGGTCCTCTTTTTTGTTTTTCTTCTTCATTTAATATTGTGATAGCCCATCAAGAAAGATTTCTTCGTTTGAGATCCGATGTCCATCGACCTTAAGTTTTTGAATCGGAAGAAATTTCGTCAGAAGAAACCTTACCTGAAAAGCCCTACCTTATGTGTGCAGATAATGATGTTGGTGATTGTAATGATCATTTACGGTGCGGGAGAACAGATATCAAACACCCGAAGAAGGACGTATTCCGCACTCATGAAAGCCCTCTGATGCATTCTAAAATCTGAGGTCTCCTCAAGTCCGAATACAAAATGTGCGATCCAACTGAAGCGAAGAGACGCTCGCCGAGATCTGATCCTAAAACCACCAGCTGCTCCAACTGCCTCCTGTCCACCTGCCCTACTCCCAGCTGTTTTATCGTTCACAGGACGTTCTGAATCATCCTAATGTCATGCTCGCTGAGAGTGCTGTCGTGCCAACCTAAGGTATGTTCAGTACATGGTAGCAGAGGATCGTTCATGTTCTAAGGTATGCGGTTCATGTTCTAAGGTATGTACAGGACATGGTAGCAGAGGCTGGTTCATATTCCAGCTTACAGGATTAGACTGGGTGAAGGTAGACTAGGTTTACTTAAGGTAAACAAAGCACACTGTGACACATTGCATCTCCTGACGAGCTGAGACATGCCTTTTGAGCCATCAAGTTATAAGAGATAGAGATCATCAGACTTCACCTAGCTCGTAGCTGCTGCAGGCTGACCTTCGCACTAGTAGATCTTGTAGATGCTTGTCGTGCTCGAGCGACACATCGGGCATTGCCTGTACGTTGCTCCCTCCTTGCAGTCCTCACACAGACACTTGTGACCGCAGGGGATCAGCGCCCATTCAGCTATTCGCTCCATGCAGACGACGCATTGCTGGCAGCGCTCTTCGACGGCTTCATCATACTGCTCCTGAAGCTTCTTCTGCAGCTCTCTGAAGCTCGGCCGTGCCGTCTTCTTCTCCTGCCAGCACTCTTGCAGAGGTAGGAGCGAAGGACAGGGCAGGGAAGACGATGGTGCACTGGGCGGCGGAGTATGGGCATGTGGAGGTGCTGAAGACGGTAGAGGAACAATGCGGGAAAGAGGCTCTGAGGACCTTGATGAAAGACAAGACCGGGTACGGCAGGACATGCGCACACTTGGCGAGTGAGGGAGGTCACTTGGAGGTAGTGCGGTATGCTGTAGAGACATGCGGGGAGGAGCTGCTGAGGGAGAAGGATTATGACGGCAGGACATGCGCGCACTTGGCAAGTAAGGGAGGGCACTTGGAGGTAGTGCGGTATGTTGGGGTGACATGCGGGGAGGAGCTGCTGAGGGAGAAGGACAAGTACCGTTCGACATGCGCGCACTATGCGAGTGAGGGAGGGCACTTGGAGGTAGTGCGGTATGTTGCAGCGACATGCGGGGAGGAGGTGCTGAGGGAGAAGGACGAGTACGGCAGGACATGCGCGCACTGGGCGAGTGAGGGAGGGCACATGGAGGTAGTGCGGTATGCTGCAGCGACATGCGGGGAGGAGCTGCTGAGGGAGAAGGACAAGCACGGCAGGACATGCGCGCACTTGGCGTGTGTGGGAGGGCACATGGAGGTAGTGCGGTATGTTGCAGCGACATGCGGGGAGGAGCTGCTGAGGGAGAAGGACAAGCACGGCAGGACATGCGCGCACTTGGCGAGTGTGGGAGGGCACTTGGAGGTAGTGCGGTATGTTGCAGCGACATGCGGGGAGGAGGTGCTGAGGGAGAAGGACAAGCACGGCAAGACATGCGCGCACTTGGCGAGTGTGGCACTTGGAGGTAGTGCGGTATGTTGCAGCGACATGCGGGGAGGAGCTGCTGAGGGAGAAGGACAAGCACGGCAGGACATGCGCGCACTTGGCGAGTGAGGGAGGGCACTTGGAGGTAGTGCGGTATGCTGTTGAGACATGCGGGGAGGACCTGCTGAGGGAGAAGGACAAACACGGCTGGACATGCGCGCATGTGGCGAGTGTGGGAGGGCACTTGGATCCTTTGCTGATGTTGCTAGACATGCGGGGAGGAGGTGCTGCTCCAAAAGGACAATGACGGTCGACATGCACATGCTTTGTAGTGAAGAAGAGGGCACATGGGGATGAAGACGAATGCTACGACGACGATCGGGAAGGAGGTGCTGAGGGAGAAGGACAAGCACGGCAAGACATGCGCGCACTTGGCGAGTGTGGGAGGGCACTTGGAGGTAGTGCGGTATGTTGCAGCGACATGCGGGGAGGAGCTGCTGAGGGAGAAGGACAAGCACGGCAGGACATGCGCGCACTATGCGAGTGAGGGAGGGCACTTGGAGGTAGTGCGGTATGCTGTAGAGACATGCGGGGAGGAGGTGCTGAGGGAGAAGGACAAGCACGGCTGGACATGCGCGCATGTGGCGAGTGTGGGAGGGCACTTGGAGGTAGTGCAGTATGTTGCAGCGACATGCGGGGAGGAGGTGCTGAGGGAGAAGGACAAGCACGGCAGGACATGCGCACATGAGGCGAGTCATGAAGGGCACTTGGAGGTAGTGCGGTATATTGGGGAGACATGCGGGGAGGAGCTGCTGAGAGGGAAGGACGAGTACGGCAAGACATGCGCGCACTTGGCGAGTGTGGGAGGGCGTTTGGAGGTAGTGCAGTATGTTGCAGCGACATGCGGGGAGGAGGTGCTGAGGGAGAAGGACAAGCACGGCAGGACATGCGCGCACTGGGCGAGTGAGGGAGGGCACTTGGAGGTAGTGCGGTATATTGGGGTGACATGCGGGGAGGAGCTGCTGAGGGAGAAGGACGAGTACGGCAGGACATGCGCGCACTTGGCGAGTGCGGGAGGGCACCAGGAGGTGCTGCAGTATATTGGGGAGACATGCGGGGAGGAGCTGCTGAGGGAGAAGGACGAGTACGGCAGGACATGCGCGCACTGGGCGAGTATGAGAGGGCACTTGGAGGTAGTGCGGTACATTGAAGAGACATGCGGGGAGGAGGTGCTGAGGGAGAAGGACGAGTACGGCAGGACTTGCTTCACTTTGGCTGATAACTCAGATGTCAAGGATTATCTCAGAGGTTTAGGTATCGACTAGTCTCAGACTGAGCCAACAAGCTGCAGCCATAGAAGTCGCTCTCATACCTACCAGAGCCCTAGTAAAAGCCAGCTCACCTCAGACTGGACCTACCACAGCTAGGGGACAGCACTCAAGGCTAGGCTCAGCCTTGATCGTCAACAAAGTCAGTCAAACGACTCTCAAAGCGCTTGATGCATACAAGGACTAGATGTGCTCGGGAGGATGACCCCTGGTGCCTGAGAGAGACTAGCAAGTACGGGTGGCTTCCCTCACTGCTGGTAGGACGAGGAGCAGAGGCTTGCGAGGAGCGAGAGCTGGCACGAGGCGAGTGTGCTCGAGCAGCAAGGAGCAGTAGCGCTAGTCCTTCCCTCAGGCTGTACAGGGATGAGCCTCTTGAGGTACAAGGGGCTGCTGTCTGCTGCTGGAGTCTAGCTCGCTGGTCTGGCATCGCCAGTACAATAGACATCACTGCACTTGACCTCTGAGCGACGCAGCGGAGGAGCCGGGAGCACTCGCTGTCAGCGTCAGCAACCCGTGAGGCTTCGGGGGGGGAGACAAGGAGGAGGAGGAGGGAAGAGAAGGGAGGGAGAGGCGAGAGCCAAGAGAGGGGAAGCGAAGCCAGCATCCTCATGACTTGCCCGCCTGAGCACCCGCTGTCGCACATGCCTCCCCAGCAGGTGACCGAGCAGCTGCAGTACCAAGTTGGCAGCAAGAACCTGCTCCCAGGCTCGCAAGGTACTCGATTTCACTGTGGCCCTGTTTCATTGCCGGAATACAAGTTGTCGCTGACTCTGTACGGTAGATGCTACGGTGGCGACACGGGCAACGGTTTATAACGGTCGATCAGTCGGTACGGTAAGTTCCGAGTCTCCCCCCCCTTGTGCCTATCAGCAGCATCAAGTTTGAGAGAGGACAAGTGGGCGACGCCGAGGGATCTCCGAGGCTGGTGGAGGTTAAGTTAAAATCAGTACGAGGACAATAAGTTAAGGTAGAATCAGTACGAGGATCTCCGATGCAAGCAGAATGAACATAAGAATAAATTTCACATCAGATCCGAGTAGTTGTCTCCCAACGAGTAGTCGTCTCCCACCGAGTAGTCGTCTCCCACCGAGTAGTCGTCTCCCACCGAGTAGTCGTCTCCCACCGAGTAGTCGTCTCCCACCGAGTAGTCGTCTCCCACCGAGTAGTCGTCTCCCACCGAGTAGTCGTCTCCCAACGAGTAGTCGTCTCCCACCGAGTAGTCGTCTCCCACCGAGTAGTCGTAGTCGTCTCCCACCGAGTAGTCGTCTCCCATGACATCCCTGACTCTATCTCACGAGTAGCGTCCTCAACAGCCGCAGGCGCATTTCCAGCAGCTCGTTGGCTGCCATCCTCATCATCGCCGCCTTCCCCAGCCAATCTTTCTTCTCCTGCATCTCCATGAACTTGTGCTCAACGGTCCCTTGGCACATGTAACGGTCCCTTGGTACATGTGAACGGTCCCTTGGTACATGTAACGGTCCCTTGGCACATGTAACGGTCCCTTGGCACATGTAACGGTCCCTTGGCACATGTAACGGTCCCTTGGCACATGTAACGGTCCCTTGGCACATGTAACGGTCCCTTGGCACATGTAGCGGTCCCTTGGCACATGTAACGGTCCCTTGGCACATGTAACGGATGCGATGCATCGCCTGCTCGTCGACTGCCGCGTTCCACCTGATGGAGAAAAAGGTTAAGCTAACGGTAACGGTCCATAACCGCCATGGTTCCATCATGTGAGCTCTCGACGCCATGGTGAGCGAGAGCCCCGCGCCTCCCGCCCAGCTGGAGGTCAGAGCGAGGGGAGGGGAGCAGGGGGAACTTAGGAGGTGGGAAGGGTTGTGACCTTGGAGCTGGGGAGGAGCAGGGCGCCTTGAGGATGAGAGTGCAAGTCTTGTATCAGCCGCCGGCGCTGAAGGATGCTCGTCGTGTCATCGATGCGAAAGACGGGGATGCCAGCAGCGATCATGGCACTTTCTATCTCATCCAAACATGAGAGGAAGCTGGAAGACACGACCGACTTGACTGTCTTGTCTGCCTGCTGAGCCTCCTGCTCATCGACGAGAAGCGCTTCAATCTTGGGGTTCAGCCTCTGCTCCTCCTCTTCCCGCTCCTCCTCTTCCGCTTGCACCCGATCCGTCTGCCTCTCCCCGTCCTCGTCCTCGCCGGATGCGTTGCGAGCAAGGCTCTGTTGAGCCTCCCGCGTTTGCTCTACCGAGAACACGTCGCCCTTTGAAAACTTGCCGCGGCATAGGGGACAGACAGCGTCTCCGCCGGAAGAAAGTTGCAGGAGCTTCATGACACAGTCCTCGCAGAAGCAGTGACAGCAGGACCGAATTACCCGCTTCGTCTCCTCCACCTCCAGGTCCTCCAGGCAGACCACACTCAGCTTCTCCTGCTTCTTCTCCACCTGCCCGTCTCCCAGCTGACGCCTGGCTGTCTGCCCCATGTCACCCACCAAGTTCGCGTAACCAAGTTCGCGTAACGCTTCGTCTCCTCCCGAGTCCTTGGCTGTCTGCCCCTCACAGTCTTGCGGCGACGGCATCACCCGCTTCAACAGGCTCTCAGTCACCGGAGCCTCGGAGGCTCAAGACCCTAGGACCGTGGCAACGTCACTGAGAGACCGGGCCCGGGGCCCGGGCCGGGACATTCCACGGGCCCGGGCCCTTGTAGTGCAGCCGGGAGGACAACGTGACCCTCAATGAGAAAGAGGGTTGAACTCTCGACCCCACCCCACCACCCCCTCCCGCCGCTTCCTCCTCCACCCCTCCCTCCCCCCCCCTCCTCGTACCACCCCCTGGATCCGGGGGGTTGGGGGTAAGGGAGTGGGGTAGGGGTGGGAGGGAGGAGAGGATCGAGGGAAGAAGGGAAGGGAGAGGGAAGGGAGAGGACAGGTGGTGTGAGGGAGAGAGAAGGAGAGAGAAGCGAGAGAAAGAGGAAAGAGAAGGGAAGGGAAGGAGAGGAAGGAGGAAGGAAGGGAGGGAGAAGGGAAAGAGGGAAAGATGAAGGGAAAGAGGAGGGAAGGGAGGGGCAAGGGTTGCTTCATATGCCTTCTCGATGGACAAGAGAGACGGACACATAGGCAAGGAAGAGAGACGGAGAGACACGACAGGGGAGATAGAGAGAGACAAGAAGAAAGACTGATGACGAGAAGACAACAAACGCACATGTACAAGAAGACGAGGTCGACAGCCTTCAAGCATAAGACGTCACATACAGACAAGCGATGCCTATTAGACATACTAGACACATACAAGAGATAGACGTGTGAGAGGCTCAAGGCTGTCAGACAAGCCTGAGATGTCTCGCTGCTCATCCCTGCTACAGGCCTCTCGCTCGCTCTGACTCCTCCCTACACGACGAGGACGACGAGGACGGCAGACGGTCTGCTCGAGAGGAGCGAGGGAAGACAAGAGGTCCTTGTGCTGGGGCTGCAGGACGAGCGATGAGGAGGATGAGCCAGGTCTCCGACCACGAGCGGGAGAGGATGGAGGAGGACGAGAGGAAGTGGCAGCAGCTGATCGAAGCGATCGAGAGAGGAGATGAGGTCCAAGTGAGAGCGCTGGCCGTGAGTGCAGGAGCAGAGCGACTGAAGCAGAAGCATCCAGTAGGACCAGGGAGAGTCACGACCATAGTCAGCGGGAGTGACGATAAGACGCTGAGGGTGTGGGACGTCAAGAGCATGGAGGAGAAGGCTTGTCTTGAGGGTCATAATCACTGGGTGACGAGCGTGGTGATCAGCAAGGACGGCAGGACGGCTGTCAGCGGGAGCTGGGATAAGACGCTGAGGGTGTGGGACCTTAGGAGCATGACGCAGAAGGCTTGTCTTCAGGGTCATAGGAGTACGCCGTGGAGCGTGGCGATCAGCGGGAACGGCAAGACGGCTGTCAGCGGGAGTTACGATGAAACGTTGAGGGTGTGGGACCTTGGGAGCATGACGCAGAAGGCTTGTCTTGAGGGTGATGGTGGTCCGATCAACAGCGTGGCGATCAGCGGGGACGGCAAGACGGCTGTCAGCGGGAGCTGGTATAGAACCTTGAGTGTGTGGGACCTTGTCAGCATGACGCAGAAGGCTCGTCTTGAAGATAACAGTGAGTGGGCATGGAGCGTGGCGATCAGCGAGGACGGCAAGACGGCTGTCAGCGGCTGCACAAGCTCCTTGAGGGTGTGGGACCTTGTCAGCATGACGCGGAAGGCTTGTCTTGAGGGTCATAGTAAAGCGGTAGGGATCGTGGCGATCAGCAAGGACGGCAAGACGGCTGTCAGCGGGAGTAACGATAACACTATGAGGGTGTGGGACCTTGGGAGCATGACGCAGAAGGCTTGTCTTGAGGGTCATAGTGGTTGGGTGACGAGCGTGGCGATCAGCGAGGACGGCAAGACGGCTGTCAGCGGGAGTGGGATGAGTACCTTGAGTGTGTGGGACCTTGGGAGCATGACGCAGAAGGCTTGTCTTGATTTAGGTGTACGAGCTCATAGTGGTCTACAAGGTCATAGTGCTTGGGTGACCAGCGTGTCTATCAAGTGTGTCACGGAGTTCGATGGCTCGGCGCTGCACGTAGCGGCGGCGCGAGGCGTCTGGTCTGTCTGTGAGAGGCTGCTGGAGGTCGGGGGCGGAGAGCTCGGGGAGCTGCGAGACTCGCTGGGACGAACAGCTGCGGAGGTAGCGCGAGAGAGGCAGGACGAGGAGCTGGCGAGCAAGATAGAGGGCTGGATGCGGCAGCTATGGAGCGGGGAGCTTCTGTCAGCGGCACTGCAAGGCAGCGTCAAGCCCGCGCAGGAGGGGATCGAGCGACATGAGAGGTGTAGAAGCGACAAGACGAAGAAGCGCAAGCGCCAGCACCAGCGCCAGCAGAGAGACGCGGAGCAGCAGGCGTCTGACGACGACAACCAGCAGGGCGCTGTCTCTCAGGTCCTGTTTGTGTCTGTGCGAGGGTCGATGACTGATGTGATCCTCTCGTCTGCAGCTGAGAAGCGTACGATCGGTGGACTACGACAGCCTGGTCGACAGTCGTCATGTCGGCTCAGGCTCCTCCAAGCTCGTCTACAGGGCTCGCTGGCGGCAGCCGCACGCCAGCACCGCTGACGTGGCCATCCTACGTATCCGAGGCAGCGGAGCTACTGCCAGGAGACAAGCTCTCGAGCAGGAGGTCAAGACCTGGCACCAGCTGGGCCGTCACCGCAGCCTGCTTGGCCTCCTCGCCGTCACCGCAGCCTGCTTGGCCTCCTCGCCGTCACCGTCGAGCCAAGCTCTGGCGACTACTGCCTGGTGACTGAGTACGCTTGCCAGGGCTCTCTCGAGAGGACCTTGCGCAGCTTCGCAGAGGAGGAGGAGACGATGGGCGAGCTGGTGCAGCTGGAGGTGGCGAGGCAGATCTGCGACGGGATGGAGCAGCTGTCGCTGCACGAGGTTGTACACCGGCAGCTGGCGGCGAGGAGCGTGCTTGTCTGGAGTCTGCAAGGGCAGGATCACCTCGGGGTGAGGGTCAAGGTAGCCGACTACGGGCGATGGATCATGGGCTGGCGCGGTGACGGAGTGAGTCGGGTAGGGAGCGAGAGCTCGGCAGGCTCGAGGGCTGGACGGGCGCGATGGATGGCGCCGGAGAGCTTGCTGAGACATCGCTACTCGGAGAAGAGCGACGTGTGGGCGTTCGGGGTGACGCTGTGGGAGGTCTGGACTTACGGCAAAGTCCCTTACTGGGCCATCACCGACGATGAGCTTGTAGGACCCAAGGTTGTGGACGGGGAGCGACTAGCGGCTCCTGCTGCATGCCCTCCAGCAGTGTATGCGATCATGCGAGAGTGCTGGCGGGAGAAGATCGAGGAGCGGCCGAGCTTCAGCGAGCTGCGGAAGAAGCTTCAGCAGCGATACGATGATGCCGTCGGAGAGCGCGGGCAGCCATGCGTCGTCTGCATGGATCGAAGAGCTGAATGGGCGCTGGTCCCCTGCGGTCACAAGTGTCTGTGCGGGGACTGCAAGGAGGCAGCGACGTCGAGGCCATGCCCGATGTGTCGCTCGAGCGGGACGAGCATGTGCAGGATCTACTAGTGACTAGGGAGACATGCGAGGAGACTGGTCTAGGCCTCTCATCGCTTGTGCTTGCACTAGTCAGGCATCTACTGCCGTATGACTCGGATAGCACATGTCTTGTACAGCTGATGGATCGCATGCCAGCCGTGCCAGTCAGATAGCGCCGAGTTAACAAAACTCTCCTGTAAACCAAGACGACTCTTACGTGTTTCGAGGCGGCAGGCAGAGGCGATGGAAACCTGGGTAAAACGAGGATGCGAGGAGGGGAGGCGGGCTGGGAGAAGATGGAGGTCCTCTACCAGAGGCAGCTCAGCGAGGAGGCGCAAGAGGATTCACGAGATACAAGAGCCACAGTGTGGAAGGGGAGGAGGCGAATGAGGGTGTACGGGGTGGTGCTGCACATATGCAGCGTCAAGTGAGAGATACATGATATAGAGAGTCAGCCGTGGTCAGCTTCATGTATAGGTGGCCTGAGCTTGATCTTGTCTCCAGGGCCTTGAGCCTACTCCAGTTCTGCCCCCGTCTTGCGCACAAAGTAGCATAGCTCTGCCTCATCGACTGACTCGCGTGCCCTCGCGATCTCGATCTCGTCTCCTGTGCCTCGAGCCTTGTCAAGCTAAGCCTCTCTCTTGTGCAACGACAAGCTTAGCAATGCCTTGTCGACTAACTTGCGTGCCCTCGCGATCTCGATCTCGTCTCCTGTGACCTCAGCCTCCTTCAGCTCTGCGACCCTGACGCTAAAGAGGGCCTCTGCGATCTTGATCTCGTCTCCTGTGTCCTCAGCCTTCTTCAGCTCAGCCTCTCTCTTGCGCAACCATGCCTGGTCGACTAGCTTGGATGCCCTCGCGATCTCGATCTCGTCTCCTGTGACCTCAGCCTCCTTCAGCTCTGCGACCCTGACGCTAAAGAGGGCCTCTGCGATCTTGATCTCGTCTCCTGTGTCCTCAGCCTTCTTCAGCTCAGCCTCTCTCTTGCGCAACCATGCCTGGTCGACTAACTTGCGTGCCCTCGCGATCTCGATCTCGTCTCCTGTGTCCTCAGCCTCCTTCAGCTCTGCGTTCCTGACTGTCAGGAGGGCGTCTGCGACCTTGATCTCGTCTCCTGTGTCCTCAGCCTTCTTCAGCTCAGCCTCTCTCGTGCGCACAAAGTAGCTTAGCCATGCCTGGTCGACTAGCTTGGATGCCCTCGCGATCTCGATCTCGTCTCCTGTGACCTCAGCCTCCTTCAGCTCTGCCTTCCTGACTGTCAGGAGGGCGTCTGCGACCTTGATCTCGTCTCCTGTGACTTGAATCATATCGAGGTATGTCTTCCTGTACTTGATATGTGCTTCTGCAATCTTAATCTTGTCTCCTTTGATCTTCGCCTCGTCAAGCTCTGCTTCTGTCAGTCTGGAACGCGCCTTTGCGATCTCGATCTCGTCTCCTGTGTCCTCAATCTCCTTCAGCTCTGCCGTCCTCCTGAGCAACGACAAGCTTATGCTTGCCTGCCTGGCTAGCTCGACTGCCCTTTCGAACTTTATCTGGTCTCCTCTCACCCAAACCTTCTCCAGCTCTGCCATCCTGAGGCCAAGAAGGGCCTCTGCGATCTCGATCTCGTCTCCTGTGACCTCAGCCTCCTTCAGCTCTGCCTCCCTGACCCTGATTCGTGCCTTGAGGATCTCGATCTTGTCTCCTGTGTCCTCAGCCTCCTCCAGCTCAGCCTCTCTCTTGTGCACAAAGTAGCTTAGCAATGCCTTGTTGACTAACTTGCGTGCCCTCGCGACCTCGATCTCGTCTCCTGTGTCCTCAGCCTCCTTCAGCTCTGCGACCCTGACTCTCAGGAGGGCCTCTGCGATCTTGATCTCGTCTCCTGTGTCCTCAGCCTTCTTCAGCTCAGCCTCTCTCTTGCGCAACGACAAGCTTTTGGCTGTCTGGTCGACTAGCTTGGATGCCCTCGCGATCTCGATCTCGTTTCCTGCGTGTGACCGGTCATGACTCCATGCAAACCGACTCTGATTGTCTTGTTTCTCACGATCAGGCAACTGCGGACCTCTACCTGTCGTGCCGTTTGCGCTCCGCTCCGTACGTCCCTCGAAAGCCTTGCTGGCTTCATCGAGGTCTTTCTCGGGAGTCAAAGAGTCTCCCTCGTCTCGTGGCTCATGCTTCATTGCACTGGCAAACCATAAAGAAGCAACCGTCAGGATGCAACAGACAATTCAATCTCTCTCCGCGAAATCCTCCCGATCCTCCGCTCACAGACTCACTATCTATGGCACCTCACTCCTGCTGCGTCACACTCCTCTACTCGCCGGCTTCACCTCCGATCACCCATCCATGTTTCACAATCGCCTACCTCGACAAGCGCAGCAGGTCAGAAGAGCTCCTCTGCTTGTGGCCGCGAGCGATCGGCAGCTGCCTCAGAGAAGGAGGGTCCCTGAAGGAGGGCGCAAGCGGCAGGTAGAGCAAGGTTCCGACAAAAGAAACAAGCGACATGCCCGTCTTCTCGGTAGGATTCCACCCCCACCCCCTAGATGACACAGTTCTCGGTAGGATTCCACCCCCACCCCCTAGATGACACAGTTCTCGGTAGGATTCCACCCCCACCCCCTAGATGACACAGTTCTCGGTAGGATTCTAACCCCACCCCCTAGATGATCTCCTCCTCTTGATCCCCTTGGTCCTCTCCCTAGTAGAACGGAGCCACCCGCCTCAGACCATCAGTAACAAATTATCAGAAGGCAGCAACAACACATACCCGCAAGATACCATCGCACACAAAAGGCAGCAACAAGACATATCCTTCTTTTTTTTAGTTTTACACTTCCCCCGTAGCCGCTGGTAGGATTAGCTTTTCTTTTTTGGACCACCCCTCCTCCCTCCTCTCCCCTCCTCGTACCACCCCCTACCCCTCCCTAGACCACCTTTATCCCCTCCCCTCCCCTCCCCTCGCTCCTCGGCCCCGCCATGGCAGCGGACCAGGGAGCGCTCCGGTCCTTCATCTGCCCCATCAGCATGGCGCTCATGACCGACCCTGTCACCTGCTGCGATGGCCACACCTACGAGAGATCCTCCATCGAGACCTGGCTCCGCCATCGTCTCTCCAGCCCCCTCACCGGCGCCCTCCTCCCCTCCGACCACCTTGTCCCCAACCTCGCTCTCCGCAGCGCCATCTAGGAGTGGCAGGAGCGACACGCGTCGCTCGTCCCCAGGCACGACGTGGAGATGGAGGGGCAGCCTATCTCAGCAGGCTCCTCCCAGGCCCTCTACATAGGTCACCTCCTCCTGCAAGGAAGGAGTGCAGGGCCCGCCAAGATCAAGGTAGCCGTGCTCAAGCTCAGGCAAGACGACGGCGGCAGACAAGCCGCGGTCATGCTCAGGCTCGGGCCGCATCCTCGGCTTGTACGCTTCATGGGGCAGAGCCACGACGCCGACGGCTGTCCCCTGCTGCTGACCGAGCTCGCCGAGCTGGGGTCGCTGAGAGAGGCTATGCTGGGGAGGCTGGCGGGACAGGTGACGAGAGGGCACCAGACGGCGATGATGGAGCAGATCGCGCAGGGCATGGAGCACCTGGCTGAGCAGCGGGTCGTGCACCGGGACCTCGCGGCTCGGCACGTGCTGGTCATGGGCTTCGACAAGGAGGACGTGGGGAGGACGTCGGTGAAGGTGGCGGGGTACGGGCGGGCAGGGGAGCTGGTGGACGGGAGTGACGGGAGGGTAGCGGGGCGAGGGCTGCCGGTGCGGTACATGCCCCCAGAGTCGATGCAGAGAGGCCGGTGCTCGGAGAAGAGCGACGTGTGGGCCTACGGGGTCACGTGCTGGGAGATCCTGACCTCGGGCATGACCCCCTACTACCCCATGACGGACCCGACTGTGATCGGGTACGTGTGCGGGGCTGGGAGGCTGCCTCGAGAGCACCTCCTCGGAGGATGCCCCGGACGGGTTGTGGGCCCTGCTGGAGAGCTGCTGGGGCGACGAGGGAGGAGGACCGCCCGAGGTTCGCCGAGCTTGCGGTAGCTGTGGGAAGAGCCGGAGCGGAGGGGGATGAGGGGGCTGCTGCATGGACATGGTCAGACAGGACGCCTGGACAGCAGCAGGCAGGGGCCGGCAACCCAGTCGCTATGCCCGAGGCATACGCAGCATGGCAGAAGCTGCATGGAGAAGGATCGGAGAGGCAGCGGGGGGAGGGATCGAGGCGGTGGCGAGGAGAGTCAGGAAGCGCAAGTACGCAGAGCTCGTGGAGCTGCAAGAGTCAGCTTGCACCGCCTTGGAGTCCACGGGCAGCGACGCTCTCAGCTCGCTGAGGACGGGAGCTCAGGCGCTGCCGGTCGGGGCGTCAGCAGCGGTAGGGGCACAAGACGGAAGCGGGACGGAGCAGCCGGCAAGGGAGGCATGGAGGCTGCTGAGGACGGGAGCTGACGACAGCATAGAGGCAGTGATGCAGGAGATGAGGACGTACGAGGCTCTCGCGGAGGTACAGCAGGCTGCGTGCGAAGCCTTGGTCAGCATGGCTCGGAACGGGGGGGCTGACAAGCTCAAGGGGCGAGAGGCCGGAGCGATCGAGGCCGTCGTCAGCGCCATGTCCACGCACGCGGACGACGCTGGCGTACAGCAAGCTGCGTGCTGGGCCTTGAGACATACCGTCAGTGTCATCAAAGAGAGCAAGGCGCGGGCACGGGAGGCGGGAGCGATCGAGGCCATCGTCAGCGCCATGTCCACGCACGCGGACGATGCGGGGGTACAGCAGGCTGCGTGCGAGGCCCTGAACTACACTGTAAGCTTCAGGGATGAGAGCCAGGCGCGGGCGCGGGAGGCGGGAGCGATCGAGGCCGTCGTCAGCGCCATGTCCTTACATGCAGACTATGCGGGTGTACAGCAAGCTGCTTGCTGGGCACTGAAGCATATAGTCGATCACATCGAAGAGAGCCAGGCGCGGGCGCGGGAGGCGGGAGCGATCGAGGCCGTCGTCAGCGCCATGTCCACGCATGCAGACCACGCGGGGGTACAGCAGGCTGCGTGCTGGGCCCTGGACTACATTATCAGCTTCAGGGATGAGAGTCAGGCGCGGGCGCGAGAGGCGGGAGCGATCGAGGCCGTCATGAGATGCCTCGATAAGCACGCGGACGACTTGAAAGTACAGCAGGCAGCGTGCTGGGCCCTAAAGTACACAATGCAGTACTTCCGATACCAGGGCACAGCGAGAGATGCGAAAGCGATCGAGGCCGTCGTCAGCGCCATGACCAGGCACCAGAGCAACGCGAAGATACAGCAAGGTCTATGCGAGGTGATGACAGCGATAGCCAAGGGCCACGAGCAGAACAAGCTCCCGGCCATGCAGGCGGGAGCGTTCGAGGCCGTCGTCAGCGCCATGTCCAGACACGCAGACAAGCAATGGCTACAAAATGATGGATGCAAGGCCTTGCGCAGCATGACGGAGGGCATGGCGGACAGCCAGGCGCGGGCGCGGGAGGCGGGAGCGATCGAGGCCGTCGTCAGCGCCATGTCCACGCACGCAGACGAGATGTGCTTGCAGTGGTCAGCATGCGAAGCCCTTGAGAGCATGACGGCGGGCATGGCTGACAGCCAGGCGCGGGCGCGGGAGGCGGGAGCGATCGAGGCCGTCGTCAGCGCCATGTCCACACATGTGGACGAACGATGGCTACAGTGTGATGCATGCAAGGCCTTGCGCAGCATGACGGAGGGCATGGCGGACAGCCAGGCGCGGGCGCGGGAGGCGGGAGCGATCGAGGCGGTAGCGAGGGCGATGCAAAGGCATGAGGGCAGCGGGTGGTTGGAGGATAGCGCGATGGA